CTTTAAAATGTGTGGACTTCAACTCCCAGAATTGAAGTTGAAGTCCACACATTTTAAAGCTGCCAAGTTTGAAAAACACTGCTCTACAGTGCTAGTTCAAGGACAGATTTTCCTTTCCTACTTGGAACCTAGCCAAGACTTTGCTTGGCCTAATAATAATTTTTAAAAGGTCAGTAACCAACAGGCTGCCCTAAACAGCAACTTCCCTGGTGCTTCCAACCTTCCTGTGCTGAACAAGGTCATGTTTGGCAAGCGCTCGATGCGGTTTCTCCAGGGTAATAGGTCAGTTAGTTGACTGGTGTCTTGCTGTATTTGAGTGTGCCTTTAGAAAGTGCTGTGGGGAGCATACCAGGGGTGCTCTTGAAGAAGCTATTTTTTTGACAGTAAATCAGTGGAGAAACTGGGTCCCTTTTCATGCGGGGTTTCCTACCTGTCTACCCTTGTGGAGTTCCTCCCCATTGATTGTTTGGGGGAACCACCTTCGATGTTGTAGAAAATCTGGTGGCGTGTTCCAAGGTGCTTGATAGTCCATGCGGGGCTGTTTCGTGCAAACACAGGTCTGTGACTGCTAAGCCACAATGAGCTTGGGGGAGACCCGAGTTTCCCAGAGGGAGCTGCGTGCCCACGAGCAGTGTTTGGAAGGAAAGTGAACTTGCCACTAAAATATTTCGCACGGTTGCGCAGCCAAGTGTTATAAAGGGTGACTTTGGAGAGCTACTCTGGGCTCGGGGAGCAATGCAACAAGGCGAGATGCTCTTGTGCAGAATGCTGAACCCAACAGCCCTCTGCTGATAAGAGGTTCTCTGCATTGTGGCTTGTTCCTCTGGCCAATGATACTTTGTTTTATATAGATGTTTATAGTGACAAACGTATAAAGATCTGTGCCAAGGGAGGAGGTATATTTAATAATAAAATGAATTATCCAGTTTGTGGTGTACATGGTGTGTCTCTTTTCTAAAATTTGATCTAGGTGGATAGAACTCCTTTGGGAAGAACAGTGCGATTGATACATGCTTCCCCAAACCCGTTTGAGGGACAGAGATGACGATTAAGGTGACTGAAAGGGCCAGAAGTGTCCAATACAAGAAGCTCCTCCTTCCCCAGACCTTGAGGCTGCTTAAATTATAAATTAATAGCTGAACTATAGATTGGCTCCACAAAATAGGTTAAGCCAGTGTTTCATGGCTGGCTGGGGAATCCTGGGAGTTGAAGTCCACACATCTTAAAGTCGCCAAGGTTGAGAAACACTGTTAAGCCATAAATATGTTTTGTTCTATTTCAACTTAGCATGAAATGCAGGCCCAATCATTTGTGATTTACTCAGTAACCAAAATTAAGCAAGGCACATGGTAATCCTTAGCGTACAGAATTCTCCCATTAGGCTTGCCTGTCTGGATCCCTAGCCTGCAAATCATACTAGGTTTTGGCTGCAAATAGCTCTCCTCTCCTCCTTTGGCCTTAATTACTGGCTTAGGTTTAGATGTAACGCTAAGCTTAACCATGTCCTAACAGGTGCTGGCAACTTGGCTGACTTTAGGCATCAGCCTTGGTATTTCCTGGTGGGTCCTGGTGGTGTCAGACACCACCAGGAAATACCAAGGCTGGACCTTAAGTGGGAAGTTAAAAAAAAAAAATCCGAGGAGAGGGCAATACTTGACAACTTCTGACAACTTCTGTATTTCTTGGAGGTGTCAGCAGGGAGTCAAATTTGACATGGGGATACACTCTTTATGTCTGATCGTGCCATGGTTGAAGCCCACTGTGTGAAACAAACTCGTGTTCCTCTTAACCTCAGGCTACTTATTTTTCGTAATTGTAATACTGCTGTTTTTCTATCATTATGTATTTTGTGTCCAGTACTTTTATGTGTAAGGCCTATTTAGTGGTGTATTTTTTTTAACTTTTTTCTCAAAAACAGAAGTATAAAGCTAGAGAGTCAAGTTAATGTACAGCTGGAATTTTCAATTGAATAGAAGAGGCAGCTTCTCTCTTTTCTCTTACCACTGCACATCCTGATTGTGGAAAACTTATCTTTTTCTCATCACTCAAATCTGCTTATGGAAAAAGGTGGTTCTGCTATTTATGAAAACGGTTTTGTAAGTTTCACTTTCACCTGCATCAGTTATTCTACGGTGGAGTCCTTGGTGTTCTCTGAACTTGGTTGTTTTCTTGCCGACATTTCGTTACCATTCGTTTTGGTAACGAAACTCCAGCAAGAAGACAGCCAAGCTCAGAAAACCCCAAGGACTCCACAGTTCAACCCTGAGCTACAGATATTCTCTTCTATGGGTAGTTATTCTTCTATTCTAACCTCTGCAAGCAATCGCTAGGCAAAGGAGACATGAAAGGTGACGTAGTTGTTCTTCTTCCCGATTGTTCATGTTCCAACTTGCTTCGGAATGTTTTAAGCCATAAGGTCTAGAAACATTTTTTTAATCGAAGCTGATCAAGACACTCGCTTTTTACCTCTTTGGGGATAGTATGGAAGAGGTGAATCCAGTCAACTGTGAGTTGTCTCCAAAAGCAGTATTTGAATCCAGCTGGTTTCTTCTAAGAGATGTCGCAAGAAAATCTTTCCTCCCACTGTAAAGGATGACAACGTGGCAGTCATAATCTGCCATCTCTCGAGGGAAGTCTATATCCTGGCACTAAATGCAGTCTGCACCCAAAAAGTTGTCCCGCCCTGAGAACAGGAGATCTTCTCACTTAGGACGTAGCCAAGCGCTGATGGAAATAGAGGCCAAAGAAGGTGGAAATGACTTGACAGGCTGCAATCCACCAGATGCAGAAAGAGAAGAGCCCCCTGTAGAAAAGAGGAGTAAAGATGGTGCCCAATGCACTAAGAGCTGCTGTGATCTGTTCCACTGCAGCTTGGATATCTTCTTTCCCAGGATCATCAGAGGTGGTGGCCTGGAGAACTGGAATGGCATCTCCTGCCGGAGATGTCAGTGCAGGCTCAGGATACAGGCCCCAGGAATATTCACCTTTTGGGGGAAAAGAGCGGGGGGAGGTTATATGTACCAAAATTCTTTTTATCACCCTGGTACATATACAGATATATAAAAATTCCAGGTGGACACTTCTTTTCGGTTTGGACTGTGATGGAATGGAATTATGAAGGCCAGGCTCAGGGAGATAAACATTTTCTTAGCTCGCCGGAGGAGCGTGGGAGCTAAGAAAATGTTTATCTCC